ATTCCTATATTGAAAATTGAAATTCCTGTGGTGAAGATATGATAATAACATTTGTTTGGGATATTAAAAGAAACTTAAACCGATGTGTACTTGTAGCATAGTACATATTTTTATAGTTTCCTTTCATAAAAATATGCTCATTTGCTGTTATATTACTAGCATTTCTTCCCTGAATCTTTAATCAGCTAGTTTTATCATCAAAATGGTCAAAACATTTCATTAGATATACGAAAAACTTTTCTAAATGAGAGACTGTTCTAGATTATGGATGTCCGGGGGAGCCATGGAGGTAGGAAGTAAGAAGGAGTCGCCCTAAACAAGTTTCTCCGTACCCTGCTCTGAAGCACCGGCGATCCCTACGTGGTGACCAAAACATTGGGTCATTTATCATTGAGTTCTATGGGATTTGACGGGTTCGGTGTAAATATTTTGTATTACGACGTCGCAAAATATACATATAAATGTATATATTTTCTTTTTCTACAACACTTCAGAGTCCTAAGTATGTGAAAACAACATTTCATTCTGAACGGAATTAAATGCTATACTTTTCTCAGAATGGTTTAATTTGAATGAAATATTTTCACAAGTTTTCGTTAATTACATTAGAAATAAAAATTAAGGTAATTTGATTTTATTCGGTTAAGGTACAAAAATTAAGATCAAAGTTTATTGTATTATTAATATTAAAATTATGCATTATTTCTTTTCTATTTATAGAGCTTCTTCCTAAAATACTTTCTAAATATGACATTTTTTTGGCTTCTTTTAAAAAAAAATGTAAGTCAATTTGGTAATTAATGCTTTATTCGTTCATTTTAAATTAGAGAATTATGAATTAATATTATAATATTTCGATAATTCCTATTAAATAGTATTTGACTTTCTCTGAACATTTCTGAAAGGAAAAAACAAGTTTTTTTTTAAGTATTATTTAAAACTTGTAACTGAGTTATTATAAAATGTAAAGAGAATAATTCTTTTAATTATACTTATGATATTTTTTTTTTTTTACCCTTCATTTCAACAATACATATTCCAAAACTCTTTATTACGTTCTTAAGTGCGCATCTCATAGCATTTGCTTTACAATACCCCTTTTAACAGACTGCTTTCCAATACGAACAATTCTTGCTTAAATAGTTTTATAACGTATTTGTCAACAGGATTTCAATTTATGTTTTCTATTCAATATTAAGGTTATTATATATTTAGATAACATTTATAATCATTATAAATTAGATACATTTAATCATTAGATTTCTTCACAGTACTTTTACAGTTGTTTATAAGTGAATAAATTCTTCATTTCAAATACTTTATAAATAATTTAATGATATTTAAGTATTTTGTCAAAGGCAGATACATGCTTTTTGCAAGCACATGCATAAATACCCATACATATTTCCTATTTATCATTTCCGGCATGTGCAAATCTTTAATTTCTGTGCATTCACTATATTTTCGTGTAAAGTAATTTACACTAATTTAGCATACACCCGAAAGTTTTACAAAAATATATATGAATATAATTTGAATGAAAATTATAAGTATTATTTTTAATACCCACCTCAAAGGTCAGTTTTTCTTTCTTCAAAATTCCCCACGATGGCATCTCTCTCTTTAGGCAGATAGCCCTTGCATGCGTTACTCCTCTATTTAATAAAAACTTATCTGACCTATGTCCTAATTACAATATTTTAACATACATAATTTTATATTTACATTTTAGCCATCAAGTTCAAACTTTTCAAATCTTCTAGAAATAAATTTTGGCAGATCTCTTTTAGCAATTTTCTTAAAATTTATATTTTTGTAGTGCAACAGCTTATAATTTTATAAAACAAATTCATAATCAAAATCGCTGTTGTTAGTTATCGAAAAATAATTAAGATGTGAATTTTGCGTAATGTCACTAAACTATACAAATTGCTATTATCCATCCACTAGAATGTTTCTTTCATGCGAAAGTGTCCCTTTTTCGATTTCTATGGAACTGTCGTGTGTCGAAATACTATCAGAATCTTGTCAGCGAGCTTTCTGGGTAGTAACAAAGAACAACCCCTTCTGGTGACCCAAGCTTCAAAGCAGTGCTTCACTTCTAGCGCGGAATGGCCCCTCCTCCCTTTCCTACCTCCATGGGGGGAGCATGATTTTGAGTGTAAGCATGTGATCGAATGATTGACTATTTGGTACCTTCCACCTCTCCCCATCCTGAATTATTTCACAATTCCCCATCCTAAATTATTCACAATTAATGGTAGAATTAATTATTATGCATGTATTGAGGCAAGAATTCACTACAGGGTACACTGCATTTTACAGACAGTGCAAATGTGATCATGCTTCTTGAAATTGTCTGTTTGAACCAGTTCATCCTTACAAAAAAAAGAATATAATTCTACTGTTGTTTTCATTCTAGTCTGATATGAAACAACCATGCCTCATCTTACGTCATCATGACGTTATCAGCCTATCTGAAGCTTTTGGGTATTTCCTTACATTTATAAGGGATTTCTCAAGCCTTCTTAACATGCCTTCGTAGTGTCTGCACGCTGGGGCGCGTATTCCAGAGATCCGTGATTCGATTCCCGGCGAAGGCGTTGCTTATTTTTCATCTCTCTTGCTTCGAAAAATCCTAATAACTCCACAGATTAAGTACTATGAAATTAGAATTCGCGTGATCTAGAAGGGGCTCTCCCCCCAGGCAATATTAAATCTTCAGTTTCTCATCCTCACAAATAGCCAGTTCTCGAAGTTTTCCTATTCGGTAAGACCTCAAATCTTTTGTATGCTTTTCATATTTAATCAGTCTGCTACAGTTTAACAGCCTGAATTATTGAAACGTAAAAATGCTGTGCTTGAGAATTCACCACGCGGTCCCAAAAGCTTGACTGTCAAGTTGTATGTCATTGATGACCATTATATCTCTAGTCCAATGAGGATTTTTCAATTTAATTTTACTTTTTGCCTGTCAGAACTTTAGTATGTCGTTCCACATCGATGATCATCGTCACATATAGGTCACTGGTGACCAACGGTCTTCGTGGCCTACGATGTCCTTCAGTTGGGTTTTATTTTTAAAATCTAATTAAATATCCTGCGTCGCCTCCAACTCCAACCATCAACCTGGGAGTAACCTGGGAGTAACCACCAGTTTTCAGTTTAATTTTACTTTTTAAAGCTAATTGTTGTAATTTTAAAGGCACTTTTAACGTGCTCAAGTGATAATTTTTATGAACATTTGCAATGGTTTTTTTAAACGGATAAAAATGGTATAACTTACGTGGTACAAAAGGAATTGCTTTTTTAACCTTAACGTTTAGTCTCTTTCTGCAGAAGAAATATGCATATATATATATGGAAAGCTTAGCTTCATGAACAATTTCTTGACCTTGCATACCAAACAGTGATTCATCAAAGATGGGCGCCCACTTCGTGCCTCATTATACACGTTTTCTTCTTACTTCGCTGAACCTTAGAATCCATTATCTAACTGTGGCATCATTCATCGCATTGTCACCATAAATTTCAATTTGTTACACGCTACTGACGATCAGAAAAAGAAAAGGGGAAAAAAAGGCCCGGAATTACAGGTCACGTTTGACAGATTGGATAATCGGTATACTTTAGAATATTGAACGCACGGGGGGAGGAGGTGTTGTAAACACATTGAAATTTTATTACACGATATCTGCCACTTGAATAGATGATCACATTGGCAGTGATGGCGAACCTATGGCATGCGTGCCACAGACGGCACATATTATTTAAAAAGTTAAAATATTTTCTTAAATTTGCATATTAATTATAGCTAACCACAGGAAGGCTATCTTTCTGAGGGAAAATATGTCTTCCTGGAGGTTTTTCGGCGGTTGGTTTGTTTATTTAATTATGGCAAAGCACTCAAGAAGAGGTAATTTGCCATAGGAGAGGTATGTCTTCGTGGAAGACTTCTGAGGATATCGACATTATACATGAAGTAACGTCGACACATATCCACGTTATACCCGAAGAAAGGTCACGAAAATACTCATGCAACCGCCTGTTCGCTTGGAATCGACCCTAGACTACTTATGTATAGAAACCGAGTCGTTCTGCCGCAGGTGGACCTGGTTTTACTAGGGAAAGCTGGTTCTTAATGTCGCTTACGTATGATAGTAGTACTTTGGGCCATTCAGCCGCCAAGAGAAAACTCGGGAAAAACTGCCATTTGCTCAGCGGGTTTAGTCACTCAGTGACTAGTGGATCCTTAAAACAACTTAACCAAGGTCAACCAAGGTCATATCAACCAATATAATATCAAACCAAGGTCATATAAATAATGTGTCTTGGGAATAACATAAACCAAATCCAAAAGGGCGTAGCAATATAAGACTGAAATAATATTTTTGTATATTTTGGCAAAGAATTCAAAACTTCTCACGTGCAATATTTAATACCCATGATATCCTAATTGAGAATATTCTACTTATAAAACTGCTTTCAAAATAAATTATAAAAAAGCTTTCGTTCAATAAAAATATTTTGTGCTGTCAAAAAATTTTAGTAAACATGCATGTATTTAAATAATTGTTCATCATTATATATGATACTTTCTCTAGAAAATGAACTCTAAATCTTATTCGCCTCCCCCCCCTTTTTTTTTTTTTTTTTTGGTTTAACTAGAGTTAAATTTACGTGTGGGATCTAATAGTTAATAATGAATGCTATCATATTTATTACCAATACATATTTTCCGATTATCCTGTTATCAAAGAAATTTTCTACTTAACTTTCAAGTTATTTGATCGAATTTTGTACAGCATGCAAACAAAACTAGTTAAGCTTATTTAAGTTTTTTCAGTAAAAAGTAGCAAATAATAATCTCATGTTAAAATGATTTTCAGCTGTTGTAATATAATAATTTCGTTGAAAAAGTAGTTTCTTTTTACGTAAATAAAATATGTGCTTTACTCTTTAATTGTATTAAAAGTAATATTCATTTTGCTTTATTTTAGGATATCATTTGTTGCACCCAGTACTGAAAGTGAGGAGCTTGAGGAAGGCCATTTAAACAACAGTGATGAAGTCTTGATTGCGTTTAGATCCCAAGGTGTATACAAGCAGAAAGCACAATGCGCCGATGTGCGCAGATAGGGAAAACTTCGGAAGGATCTCTTCAAGGGATTCATCTCTTCTCGATCTCTTCTAAATCTTACTGTCAGGCTTCAAGTCCTTGTGCTAGGAAGAAACGAAGTGAAGTGAGATAAATGTCTCTGGACTCAGAACTTAGCAGTGGATTCCAGGTGAAATACCTGGGATCTGTATCTTTCACTAGAAAGAAGCGTCAGCCACTTAAGGGTATTGTATCTCTCCAAAGGCCCCTTCTTGACCTGTACACTGGCGCGCGTCGGAGAGGTGAGAGTCATCGCAGCATTCATCCTCTCGCTCTTACACAGCAGCTGGAAATTTGTGACTATGGATTGGTGGTGGCTGAAGGAAATGGGGAAACCGTCATCACCAAAGTAATCACTCCACTGTCAAATGTTATCCTGTGGGCAGCCGTCCGTTTTCACGCTAGAATCATCAAGAAAAGGGTACGTTAGCAAATTATTAAGTTTGTTACCACTAGTGGAAATGCGATGGTGCACTTAACTGCTTTTTTTTTACTTCCTTGTACGAAGTAAAAAAGAAGTATCGTAATTGCGAAAAGTTTTAGGCAGCATATTTCAACGAAAATATCCATTTTGACCGCTATCGAATGCAATTTAACGATGTTTTTGCGTAATATCTCTACGTAAGGACAGAATAAAAGACTCTTTTCCTCCAAAAAAGATTATAAAACTGCTTTAAAATGAATTCTGAAGAGAATTTTTCGTGGCGTCTGTACGAACGTATGTACGTACGTACGTATCTCGCATAACTCAAAAACGAGTAGCCTCAGAACGTTGAAATTTTGTATGTAGGACTGCTACAGCATGTAGATGTGCACCTCGTATTTTGGTTGCAATCGGCCGCACCAAATGTATATAAATATATTTATATATATATCCACTCTGTTACCCGGCTCAGTGATCTCAGTTTCCTTACTCTTATATGTTTGTAAATTGTACATTTTTTGCTTTAAAAAGGATTGAATTATGTTGTTCTTATCTTCCGGTTAAGGTTTTTATGCCTTTAGTAAATCTATATGCAATATTTTTAGAATTATCAACAATTTAAAAGTTGCTTAAGTGCCGCTAAGCCTAATATTTTTTTTTTGATGGCGGTCATTGCTTGTTTACATTTGAAACAGCAGAGATTGTTGCCAATCTAGAGAAACGTAGCTTCGCAACAACAAAGATAACGCCTTTATTTATTATTGCGATTTAAATCATGCTTAATCCTTTCTGGAATTTTGCGAGGAGATAAGTGTTTAAGATTTACTTAATTTTTAATAATTAAATTTTTAATAATGATAAAACTTATTTTTAATAATTAGTAATTTTTAATACAGATATTTTGAGTTTTTAAATATTTTTGCCTTGTCGCGAAGTGCGAACTGAATTAATTGAATGAGAAATACTCAATCGTCTGTGAAAAGTTTCCTTTTTTTTTTTTTTTTTTTTTTTTTTTTTTTTTTTTTTTTTGTTGTTTGCTTAATTTTTTATACATCGTTCTAGCTTTATTATAGTATTTGAGTAGAGCATGTCGAAAAGATTAGATAATTCTTTAAATAATATAAATTTTGTGCATTCTGAGTTATAATATGAACGAAATATAATACTGTTAAGTGAACCTAGCCCCAGAGTTTCCTATGGTAAACAAAGAGAGGGAATTTTAAAGAATGCATTTATTCTATTGTGGTTTATGCGCGTTCGGCGAAGTAGGTTTAATTAAATTAAATAAGTTTAAACAAAATGCAAGAAAAAATGCGTATAATTTAATATTCCGTACAAGGAAGTCATGTGGTGTACACATCAGATTTTTTTTAATTGTGCTACAGCACGAAAAATAATGTTTTGTTTGTTGCAATTTATGTAAATTTTACAAAAAGGAAATTATATGCGTTAAACAAGCATTTTGAGCTTAATGGATCAACAAATGAGATGAAACGTTTTATAAAATTGAGTATTTTATTATGCATGTTGTACAGTCCAGGTGGATGAACTTCTGCAACTGTAGTAGCAGGATACTACACAAGAGAAGGGTTAAAATACCCTTCATTAAATCTTTTGAAAATTTACAGTGCGTCAACTCGACGTTAACAAACTTCGCCTCTGCTTGGGCGGTAACTGAAAATCACGTAACTAAACTAAAAATTTGAAGATATTAACAAACGAAAGAACTAGACTACAGGGCTCAGCGAGGTCCAGTAACTTAAACCCCCTTCGAAGCTAGTGGCAGCAGATAAATGCAATGCAATTAAGCCACTTGAATCAGCAATAAGCAAACGTAGCTACGGCAGAGACGACGGCTGGAGCCTAACTCTCTCTTACTCCTACCGAAACTCGGCTTTTAACTACAAAGTAGAAAATTTGCATTCCGTCACGCGCGTTACAACATTTAACTATTCTGGTACTGACGATTAGGGGAATGAAGGCTTATAGGAAAGTCTGGAACTAAAAATTTAAATTCTTAGTTAAAATAACTATAAATCCCTACAATGTTAAACATATTTTTTAGCATTTGGCAAGATATTGATACTAACTACTGAATACATGTTTCACTTTCCATGACAGAAGTGTGTTCTTTACATTATCATACAGCATGAAAGTAGAAACGTAAGCCGAGTGTTCTCATTTAAAAGTAAATTTAATTTAATTGCGTTTTTAATGTACTTAAGTGGATATTTATTAATTTCCCATTAATTTAATTTGATTTAGCCCAAAGGGCGTAAGGCCAGAGGGGCTGTTAATTTCGTTTTGGCATTTTTGCGTTGAAAGCTTTAAAAGGCTATATATAATTTTTCAAATTGTTGCCGCAAAATATTATAAGCCCTGCGTTATATTTAAATAAATTAAATAATGAAGAATCTGCATAAATGTATGCAAGTTTCTGTGAAAACCAACGGTGCCGATAGCCATCAAATTTTGAATAACGTAATCCACCACTCGAATATGGGCATCTGGAAGATCAAACTTGGAATTTGTTTTATTATCTATATCATATTTTATAAAATTTTAACGAATTTTTGATTAACAAATTCAACGATTTTAAAGCGAGCAGTGGCAACACTATACGAGAAAAAAAAACAGCATTTTTATCTCCAGCGCATCAGAAATTCTAAAGATGCTCTTTTTAAATTATTTTGCGATATTGTTGTCGAATTGAATTTTATGGTTTAAGTGCGAGGAATATATTTAATAAACCAAGGTAACAAAGGTAACTTTAGAGTAAGTAATCTTAAAATCTTAAAAATACTTGGATAAACTTAGATAATCAAAATTAATCGATTCTTTAAAAAAATTTAAAAAATTTTGTTATTATTTATTTTAATTTTTTAAATAATTTTGACAGATTTTTATAGGATTTTGGTGCTTTGAATTTAAGAATAATTTAGAAAATTTGTAATTATTACGCAAAGAGAAAATGCTTAAACTTCACTGGATTTTATTCTTGAAAAGTGTCTGTTTGAAAAGTCTTATAACTCCTAACATTCATTTCACAAAAACAGGTACTGTATTTTTGCAGGTGTTTGGTGCTGCTTTCGTGCCTCTTGCTTGCTCGGATGGAGTTCTGGACCATAAATCTTATATATGTTTGGCATCTAAACAGAGATTCCTTGTCAGTTTAACTCATCCTTCTGTCTTCGCCTGTATATATAGAAAGGTCTCCTCTCCCACAACATTCGAATGCCACGCATTCGTATGCGCAACTGCGGAAGATGCTTTAGCCATAGCTGGGTTAGCCACATTAGCCAGTCAGCAGAGTGATTTGCCAACCATACAACGTCCGCTTTATCCGAGACATGGGCCTCCAACAGCTTCGATTGAGTCTGGAACAGATTACTATACCCCTTCTGATGTTCCATCTGGTCCTAGGGACATCCGAGGAAATGGGTTGCCAAGGGCGACAGACACGGAAGAGGTAAGCATAATAGAGCATTTTAAAATTTTAATAATTTTAATTTCTTTGGATGGGAACTATAAAAATGCTGTTCGTTTATCTGTTTGCAAAATGTATTGTCATCTGTACTTGTAAGTATCTAAGTGTCTAAGTAAGTATCTGTACTTGTCTATTGTAAGTCATCTGTACATTTATGCGAGCTGTTAAATTTCACCAGCAAGGTAGGAAGACAATTTCATGTGACAATCTCTTTTCAATTATTTGGGTTGGGTTTATTTAATTATGGTAAAACACTCGAGGGCTATCTGCCTCAGAGGAGGAATGTCTTCGTTTAGACACTTTCTAAAGAAAATTTCCTCATATTTATGCTATACATAGGGAAAAACAACCATGCAGCTAGTCCTTTCATCTGGAATAGAGCCAAGGTCGAACTAACAATGTTTAGAGACTTCACTGCTCGCCCGCGTTTGGGCCAACAGTTTTTGCTGTAATTCTTTATTTCCATTTAAAATAATAATAAATTATTATCTATTCCTACTATTTTATCGATGTGTTATCTCCTGTCATCGCACTATCTTCATATATAAGATAACTTGGATATAGGGTATTTTCTCTCTCTCTCCCTTCGTGGATTGAACGGTTGAACACTCGACGCATATTCTAGAGTCCATGTTCGAATCCCGGCGAGGGCATTGCTCATCTTTCATGTCTCCTGCTTCCAAATAACCTAATGTTTCTACACTGCCGTCCGAACTAAAAGAAGGTGGACAATAATTCGTCACCTCCAGGATTTAACAACTGAGTCCCTTAATCCTCAGGCACCTTTTAAAAGGGGGAGTATATAAAGTTTACAGCAATCTTATAAAGTTTCCATGCATTTGATTTAGCTGCATAAATAAAATTGCTAAAAACAGACCGCTAACATTTCTGTTTTACTTGCGCTCTGTATACATCGCAAGGTCCCTGCCATCCATATATTTGTTATAATTTTCGATAAGTTACTTTATGGATACAGATTTGTGTTGTTTGAGTACGTCTTTGTCACTGAAGGGAAGTATATAAGGTATTGTCTCCCTCCTTCTTCTTCGTGGTGTAACGGCAACACCCTCGGCATGTATTCCAGAGGTTCGGGTTTAACTCTATTGTCTCCCTCCTTCTTCTTCGTAGTGTAACGGCAGCACCCTCGGCATGTATTCGAGAGGTCCGGGTTTAACTCTATTGTCTCCCTCCTTCTTCTTCGTGGTGTAACGGCAACACCCTCGGCATGTATTCGAGAGGTTCGGGTTTAACTCTATTGTCTCCCTCCTTCTTCTTCGTAGTGTAACGGCAGCACCCTCGGCATGTATTCGAGAGGTCCGGGTTTAACTCTATTGTCACCCTCTCTTCTTCGTGGTGTAACGGCAGCACCCTCGGCATGTATTCGAGAGGTCCGGGTTTAACTCTATTGTCTCCCTCCTTCTTCTTCGTGGTGTAACGGCAGCACCCTCGGCATGTATTCGAGAGGTCCGGGTTTAACTCTATTGTCTCCCTCCTTCTTCTTCGTGGTGTAACGGCAGCCCCCTCGGCATGTATTCGAGAGGTCCGGGTTTAACTCTATTGTCTCCCTCCTTCTTCTTCGTGGTGTAACGGCAGCACACTCGGCATGTATTCGAGAGGTCCGGGTTTAACTCTATTGTCTCCCTCCTTCTTCTTCGTAGTGTAACGACAGCACCCTCGGCATGTATTCGAGAGGTCCGGGTTTAACTCTATTGTCTCCCTCCTTCTTCTTCGTGGTGTAACGGCAGCACCCTCGGCATGTATTCAAGAGGTCCGGGTTTAACTCTATTGTCTCCTTCTTCTTCTTCGGGGTGTAACGGCAGCACCCTCGACATGTATTCGTGAGGTCCGGGTTTAACTCTATTGTCACCCTCCTTCTTCTTCGTGGTGTAACGGCAGCACCCTCGGCATGTATTCGAGAGGTCCGGGTTTAACTCTATTGTTTCCCTCCTTCTTCTTCATGGTGTAACGGCAGCACCCTCGGCATGTATTCGAGAGGTCCGGGTTTAACTCTATTGTCTCCCTCCTTCTTCGTGGTGTAACGGCAGCACCCTCGGCATGTATTCGAGAAGTCCGGGTTTAACTCTATTGTCTCCCTCCTTCTTCTTCGTGGTGTAACGGCAGCACCCTCGGCATGTATTCGAGAGCTCCGGGTTTAACTCTATTTTCTCCCTCCTTCTTCTTCGTGGTGTAACGGCAGCACCCTCGGCATGTATTCGAGAGGTCCGGGTTTAACTCTATTGTCTCCCTCCTTCTTCTTCGTGGTGTAACGGCAGCACCCTCGGCATGTATTCGAGAGGTCCGGGTTTAACTCTATTGTCTCCCTCCTTCTTCTTCGTGGTGTAACGGCAGCACCCTCGGCATGTATTCGAGAGGTCCGGGTTTAAGTCTATTTTCTCCCTCCTTCTTCTTCGTGGTGTAACGGCAGCACCCTCGGCATGTATTCGAGAGGTTCGGGTTTAACTCTCGATGAGGGCATTGCTCATTTTTCATGTCTTCTCCTTCAAAATGACCTAATAACTCTACAGTGATGCCCGAACTAAAAGGTGGTGACAATAATTCGTCACCATCAGAATTTGGCGATTGGGTACACTAATCTCCAGTCGCCTTTTTAAAGGAGGGAATATATAAGGTATTTTCTCCCTCCTTCCGTGGTCTAACGGTAGCACACTCGGTGCGTATTCGAGAGGTCCAGGTTCGAGACCCGGCGAGGGTATTGCTCATTCTTCATGGCTCCTACTTCAAAATAACCTAATGGCTCTACAACCCATCAAGTATACGCTAGTTTGTGCAGCTTGAAATCGAGCTTTTTATGTAGTCGGTAACAATATTATTGGCTTGAGTCTTTCGTCAGACTACGTCTCAGCATCAAGCGTGTGCTCCTTGTATCTCAGCGTCGAGTTTTCCAGTATCATAAAAAGTTAGTGAAACAAATAGTAAATATGTTCGAGTTGGTTGAATTCGTAAAATAATTCCTAAGAGTGATAATAATTACTAGGCGATCAAATCATGAAACTGACTTGAAAATTCCGCAGCTATTCTTCTGTTACCTTTAAGGCGTAGCCTTCCAGTACATATTGATTAATAATATTATCACTATTCTTTATCAGTCAGTTTTATAAAAAATTTTAATTCTTTTAGATTATTGTCTGAGTTCCATGCCAATAATTATAAATTAGAGTGTCATTATGGTTCAAAATCATGTACCTCTACATCAGAAAAATATGTGAGCAGAAATATGCGAGTAGTAGTAAGCAGAAATAGGAAAATTGCATAAATAGTTATCATGATGCACACTAGAGGGTGCCATATTAGCTCGAGAAAGCTTAGGGATAAGAAAAAGCAAGTTTTGATTTTTTTGGATTTTAAACTTTTTTTTTGTATTTTTATTAGTCCAAAGGGGCTTTGTTCCTGAAGGATTATTATTTTCGTTTTGCGATTTTGCGTTGAATTACTATAAATGTCCGTTTCACTTTTCAAACTGTTGCCATCCAATGTTAGAGTCCTGCATTATATTTGAAGAAATTAAATAATGAAAAATCTGCATAAATGTAGGTATATTTCTCGCATTGTGATAAAACAGCGGTACCTAGAGCCATCGAATTTTGAATGACGCAATCCTCGTACGAATATGGGCATGTGAAAGACCAAATTTGAAATTTGGAATTTGTTTTATTATCCATTTCATATTTTGTAAAACTTTAAGGAATTTTTGAGTAACAGACTCAAGGACTTCAAAGCGAGCAATGGCAACACTCTACGGGGAGAAAAAAACTTTTTATCTCCAGCGGGCGCGGAACTGTGCATCGGAAATTCTGAAGATATGCTCATTTTAAAATCATTTTGCGACATTGCTACTGAACTGAATTTCATGATTTAAGTGCAAAGAACTGGATATTTAATAAATAAAGGTAACACACAAAGCGGTAAAAAAACGCCCCTTTGGACGTAATTTAAAATCTGAAACCTTTCAGATTTTTTTTATTTCGTCATATCAACTTTTATCTGTTATATAGGCTTATATACCGTACATGCTGCGGGCTTTCTAATCGCTGAACTAAATTTTTAATTCCTTGTTTAATTTTATATATATATATATATATATATATTTAGTAATTTTTTTATATTTTTATAACACATAAATACAACACTATATCAAAAAGCGGATAGGAAAAATGTTACAGATTAAGAGGCTCATTGGTATATGGCACTAATCATAGTGAAGTAAAGTATTAAATATTCGCGTAGAAAGATCCATGGCATTTATTTCTGCGGGCATGATGTGATTAAATAGTGAAAAGATTGATAACAATGCAGAAATGGCCACTTTTCAGTAATATTGTCTGAGTTCTTGTAAATGAACTAGCACTATCTATGATTCTCATCCACCTACCTAGAGTATAATCAATAATTTAACTAAAACTCTACATGACTTCTGGAAGATTTCTCAATGGTCCATAAGGAAAGTGTTATTCAGTTATCTTATTCAAAACTTTAACCTACAAAATTTTTATTTCTGTCAAATTATTGATGCCACTAACAAGGAAAGGAATGACAAGCATCTTATTTGATGCAATAATCTTGGTTTCAAAATTATCTTTATGGAACTCCTCCATATGGCATTTCTCATGTATCTGTTACGGAATTTGTGATGAGAACTTTTCATTCGTTTCTGCTGCGCAATCACGTGAAATGAGGAAACATGTTCTTAATTTCATTTCTGGTTTAGGAATGGTGCTCATTAAAGAAAGCTGAAGGACAAGTTGAGGCAACGAGGTAAGAGGTCTGGCTCGATTTATTCATTAGGAAAAATAAAGCAGAAGAAAAGAAAAAATAATTCTGCGTATAAGTTAAACATGATCTAATGATTAATTTGAAAATAAGGATTTGTTTTCAAATGCTTTCTAGATTTTACTTTCTGAAGTCTAATTATCATGGTGTGTTTTAGAAGCGATTCTAACTCTTAAAGTAGTTTTCTTAAGAAC